CGTAAATTATGATTTCCCTTGACCGTGAAGCGTATCTTTCCCACGGAGCGGCGCCAGGCACGGCGACCACGCATGCGGGCCCTATGCAACTCTGGCACTCGCTAAAACATGTGTTTTTGTTATATATATTCAAAATTGTGACTCACGATATATTTATGAAAGCTGTAGCCTTTATGTTATTAATAGACAGAGAGAGTATTACCCTCATTCCTATTAGTATTTTTTTCTAAACAAGATAAACTGTAATGAATAAAGTGTATTTAACAATTAAAATAAACATTTGACTGAGAGTCGAATCTTATATGGGCTCAGCAAGGATAAATTATTTTATTTATTTATTTATTGAATAAGGCTTACCAACTAGAGTAGGTACATACACAAACTTAATTACTAAAATAACGTTAACCAATTTTTTTTGTGTATTACTCTAAATTAAAGACATGCACAACATTTTATAACTAAGTACCTAATAGATATATATTTTTAAAGTTTAAATATTAAAACGTATTTGTTACATACGCTCCACTTAAATGACAATAATAATTAAAAAATAAATGAAATTTGACGCTAAATGATTTTTTAAAGATTTCTTTTAAAATTGTATATAGTAGGTATTTGAAAATATATCTATAACAGAATACTTGTGAGCAAGATACTATGCTTTAAAAGCTGTCTATATATGTAATACTAGCGGTTCACCCTCGCTTCGCTCGGGTTACAAACTTTCATCCCCATTTTCACCCCATTAACGGATGATTTCCGGAATAAAAAAAATTCTATGTCCTTCAGGGTCTTAACTATCTTCTTACCAAATTTAATCTAAATTGGTCCAGTAGTTTTTGAGTTTATGCGTTACAAACATAAAAAATACAATCTCTTTATAATATTAGTGTAGATAAACGACATGAAAGATTTGATGAGAAGACTTTACTTTTTACTTAATCAGATATTTTCAAAGTCGGTGTGCTTTTTTATTAGGTATCTATAATATAATAAATAAATATAAATGAAAACTATCAATCAGTTATTTTTTACTTTTAAGTGTTTTTATTGAAGTCGGTTTTTCTTGAAGTTTTTATTTTTTTCCCTCTTTAGTGTAGACATACCTATAAGTAGCAAAGAAGAAAGTATTTTAATAATAAAATATTCGCTTAAGCCGTTTAAGTCAGTTCGATGCCAGTTTTTATATGAAGACTGACAAAGTAAAATTCGCTTTTATTAGTAACACTAAAAAATCTGGCTCTAAAATCCAATTCTGTGTTGGGCTTGTCAAGACAAAAAAATAAGCCCACTCTAATCTATGTATTATTGGCCGTTGAAGAGTTCCACCTATCCACCTTCTAGCCTTACCATCAGATCAGGTCGATGATATCGAACCACTGCACTATCAACGGAAATAGAAAGACAAAGTTTCAAGTCAATATGACAATATTAAAAGTAGGTTAAATTTTATTACCTATTTTTACACCCTTAGGGTTGTGTGCGGGTGGTATTTTTGTATTTCAAATTTAAATAGTACCAAATTGGATGTATACACTTTTAAACAAAACAAAAATTGTCCAAATCGGTAAATAAATGACGGAGTTCAGAGTAGAGCTCGGAACCAGTTTAAAAAGACGGTTTATTTCGGTAAGGTAGTGGTTAATTCTCAGCTCGTTCTTTAAATAAATGAAAACGAACGGTTTCGTAAACCCAAAATAATATTTGCTAACGGTTATTTTTAGAGAAAGGTTGGATTTAGGTTTTGATACCGAAATAAACCGGTTAATTCATTCATAAGAAAGAAACGTACCTACATGTACGAGTATCCTTCTACTAAGGCATTCACCGTTAGCAAAGACGCGCCAAATGTAAACCCACAAAAACTCATTTTATCCACATTATATTATATATATATATATATATATATATATATATATATATAAAATGTCAAAAACTGTTCTCCTGGATTTAACCGGTTATAGAACGTAAACGAAACCTTAAACCAAAAAGCCTTTCGGTTTGAAGTCGATAACCAAAACCGGTTTAAAAATTGAACAGGTTTCTGGTTCTGAGATAACAAACATTAAAAAAAACGGCTGAATTGAGAACCTCCTCCTTTTTGAAGTCAGTTGAAAAGGAACACTTTTATCCTATAAACCTTTTCTTACGTCAGTTAAGTTAAAGTTAAATTTTGGCATTTCATCCCCGTGATTCACATTAAAAATTCAATTCTCTTATAGCATTTTTAAATTCGTTCGCTTTCACGTAAAAGGTTCTTTTGCGGGCTTAATGAAGATCTTTTTTGGTCCGGTACAGGATTACCATGTGCTTTAATATTTAATAAGACAAGAAATTAGAAATCTAGGTAATACTTTAACACCTCCAGGTAAATTTCTAAGAAGTTAATTAAATTTCTAAGAAATTTATTGTTAACTGTGACGCCGGCGTGTCCGCGGTCGTGGAGGGATTATAATTGATTAAATTTACTATATATTATAATATGTGAAAAAATACAAAAACTGTAATGTAAGAGTATACTAATGTGTAAACCTAATAATTTGCTTTTTGGTCATTTGAACGCGGTCGGAGTCGCGGGCAATGCTAGTAATATATATATATATATATATATATATATATATGTATAATATGTGTGTCACACACGCTGTCGTAGAAACCCTAGTACATAATATAATGAAGGGAACTTTAGTTGGCATCTCGCAAAGGTCGCTAGTTCGACGCACGCAATACGCACCGTTCTAAAATAGACGTCGCGTCATACAGTCTACTTGAGGAGAGACCACTTACTGAGTCTACCAAAATCTAAGACCAACTATATCTCTTGGTATGTCATAGATACCGGGCAAGCTTTTTAAGGCCATTAAAGTCTGGATTCTAGGTAGGTATATGATTATTGATCATGTGTTCTATGTAGGTTGCACACACCTTTAGATTTTACTCATTATTAAACAATCAAAATCAATTAATTTCTACTTGTCCATCTAATGATTAGTACCTGGACGACAGCGTTTTGCTCGGTGTTTTTCGGAAAAGATATTAAAAATGCGTTTTCTCGGAAAATATACCTATATAGAGAAACTTATAAAGTAAAACTTTATCGAAATAAATAAATTATTCTTGTATATGCAAATATAAATAAATTTATATTTACATATGTATGTATAATAGTATATACAAGAATTGGTCATTTAATATTATATGATACGCAGTTATATATAGATTTTTTTGTAATTCGTAGTAGACACGACCCATTTTTATGTATAAAAACTTTTATATTTTATTTAAGTGAATTGTTGTGTTATATAATTCATACAAGTGAAAATGTTTAACATTTTATTATTTCTTATTCATTACTATGTAATATTTTTATATTCTACCAAGAATAATAAGTGTAGAATTTGAAATTTTCAATTACGTTTGATGTAGAGCATAGACTGAACTATAATTTAACTATTAAATGTAATGTATGTGCATATTTTTCTTAGATTTTATCTTTATTTCATGTGTTTCGAATAAAAAATAAATAGTTAACGTGAGAAATACGCATACTAAGTGCAATATGTTTGTTATTACCAAAATTTACTGCCTTATTTTTGTGCGTCTTTTAAAATTTGTAGTTGTGCAGTTTTATTAAATTAAAAGTGAACATTCATAAATTCTTGGAAATTAAGAGTAATCATAAAAAATTGTGCTTTAAAAATGCTTTAATTTTTTTTTCTACCCCGAGTAAATTATTTATACATTTCAATCTAAAACCTTTTTGCTGATCTTATTAAATTAACATCGCAAATTATTACAAAGGTCTTTTTGCTTCACAAAATGCCTACATTTTCAAAGAAATGTATACAAATAATAAAACGGAATATTTAATGGTTTTAAATATATTTATTTCAATAGTATAATTTAATTAATTACAATAATTTTATTATTTATGCTACTTATATATTTTTAAGCTACGTACATATTCAAAAGTAAATTATTGAATTTATGTTTTAAATAATTTATACTTTAACTTAAGCTTAATTCAGGAATGAACGAATATAATAAACCTTTACAATTGTAACTTCATGTATATTTATTGAGATAAATATATGGAATTACTTAATATATTACGTTAAATAATATTTTATTATTATTATCATATCTGAAATTTGTGTTATATTAATGTCAAAATAGTTTAATCATGTGTTACTTGAAATTATTTTGTTAAATACAATGATTGGCTTATACATGAAAATTATTTTGCCTTCAATATATATAACATAAATATTATACATATGAAGCATTTGAACATAAACAAATATATCACACACAAAAATATCACAAAATTACTATTGTAAGTAATAACTAATGATACCTATTATTATGACCAGTAAGTACACTAGAATATTCTTACAGCTAGCTCTATAGGTTAAATAAACATAATAATATTTGAATATTATAAATTATAGTTTTTTTTCCAGCATCAAAACTTATTACAGTGATTTTAATGATTCCTTCATTGTTTTTGTTCGTGTAAATATAAACTAAATTTTGTCGCCAAATAGAGCAAATTTTAATGCGCTTGTCTATAGAGGACGAATAACTTGTAGCGTATTTTAATCAAACCTAGGGCTAAGACAAGATGTAATTCTACACTCGCTATCTCTATTTTAAAACTAAAAAATAATGTAAATTTAAATGAAATATCTAAGCTTTACGTCACATCATTAGAATATCTAGTTCCCATATATTTTTTGGTTTCCAATTAGTGATATCCATGTACGAGGTGTATTTTTCTGAGCTTCTCACTTTATACACTTTCAATCACACAAAAATATGACATGTGAAAATGATACGAAAACATATTATAATGTGGCTTAATTAATATAATAAAATAATAGCTATATTACACAATAACTAAACGACGCTACACATACATCCTCTTAAATTTTAATTTAGTCTAAAAATGCATTGAATTGAGCAATTATTCTCCTTTGATATTCTAAAATTTGTTTTTAACTTTTAGACGAGAATATGTTGAGGAACTTGGATTTGATGTTAAGGAACGTTGTAATAGATCTCTTCGCCTTCTTCGTATTAGGTGTCCTTTCTGGTCTCAAAAATGGTTCTGAATGTGATTTCTGCAAGTTGGAAGTTGTAAAGGTATCTGGTTCATTGACTGGCTGGTATTTGTATTCTTTCACAACCTTTTCTTCTTTCGGGTCGTATCTATATAAAACTGAATATGTACGTTTTATTTTCTTCAGGACCCGAGGAGCGTTGGCAGTCCTCTCGCTCTTGCAGCGCTTTACTTGGTTCCGTCCGTAGTAATCTTCATAGTTGTCCGCGTCAACATAGATTATACGTTTTCCTAAAGCTTGTTCTCTTTCCTTTTTCAAACTTTTCCAAGACGCAATGACAGATTCACGACGGAAAGTTTTGTTCGGATTATGCCTACTGATAAGGTACGGCTGCTCGTCCTTTTGGATGTTAGACGTATCCTTCAAAGGAGATCCTCTAGGACTCGGGCTGTAGTCTATCTCGTAGTCATCTCTTGAGATCTGAAAAGAAAATAAAATCTCTATAAGAAATAAAAAGCAAAAATACGTTTAAATAACTATGAAGTCTATCTTTAATAGTAATAGCTATCTTATAAAACATGTCGGATCTGATCTGACGGATTATTTAAAGTACCGATATAATATATTGAATACGTGACTACGTAAGGCCGTCCTTTTCTGTTATTTTAGACTCGTCGTCTGTCTTTGTCTGTTTCGTCATTAAAGCCCTTCGCCTGGTGCCCACATGTTTGATAACCCCTGTCTGCCAAACCATATGCTATGTGACGCTGGAACTATTGCCAAAGATTGTGAACCTAAAACGTATCGTTCAACAGTGAACTGTCGAGGAAGTTTACAATAAATACAAGAATGATCGTTTCCAATAAATTCTGCGACTGTTTCAAACTAAACTTGTTTTTCGTTTAAACACAAGTTAAAGGCGAAACATAGATGATCAAAAATAATCATAGAACGTCATTATAGAGATTAGGCAATTTCTCGTGAGTTATGAAGTCCTTCATAATTGTCATTTATCTTTCATTTACAAAGCTTTTTGATGACCCAAAAGCCATCTCAACAACAGTTTCGTAACTTTTAAATGTTTACAGTTTTATATTTAAATTTATGTGCCATTGTGAAACGTTATAGGTTTTCTTGAAATTTTATGCTCCAGGGCAAGGAATGGTCAAAGAATGGGTCAAGTAAAAATAGAAGTTTAGCTATCTGTGTTTATGTCTCCTGTTAAGTTTAAACATTATCTGGCAATCGATCAGCCCTTGAATCCGTTCTCGTACGGGACTGAAATAAAAATAACGTATGTTTGATTCGTAAATAGTTTTATGTTGCTTTTAATAACTGAGTGTGTTACTAATAGTATTGATAACCGAGTGCTGTTGGATACTTAATTTAATGACCTGGTTAAATTTGTCATCGTTAAAAAAACACACTTAGCCCAATTTTTCTATTTATTAATCCGTGGATTAATTTATAGAAAATACCGTGGTATTGTCAGAAAATACCTACATAACTCAAAGTCTGGTGTTGCTACTGCGATAAATGTTTCACTTATATATTTTGACAGGTCGCGTTTCGTAACTTTTTAATAGTTTCATGTAATGTTGCACTGTCACGGATTTAGGTCGCAAAGAAAAAATAGGTCACATTAAAAGAAGCAGATCTATTACCGGTGTTAGTTAACTCGGCCCAATTAATATATTTATATTCGTCCGGATGTTTTAATTACATGAAGTAATATATTTTCTTTTTTTTTCAGGTAATCGAATGACGAATCACATCTCTACTTTATCCTACGTGTCCTATTTCGCAACAAACGTGTAGCACTTCTTGTAGCGTGAGTAGTGCGTGTTATTTTTGGATGTCATTAAATCTGAATAGAACTGAAGGTGATACTAAATGCTACGTAATATTTACCACGAGTTATTTTAAACAATAACCTAATAGTACCAATGGTATGGAATAGAGTTAAATATAATATATATGAGTGTTACAAGAGAGTGTATAGTAAACTCTGTATTTTATAAATATCAACGTTCTCCTCAATTTGTAAAACATGGTACAAGAAAAATGTCAAAAGTGTCCATTTATGTATGAGTCGGTCACTGTCTCATGGATGTCGAGTGGACACATCGTTAATATTGATATTCGTACGTAATGTATGAGGATCGCAAAAGTACTTCGATCCATACTTACATGCTGAGTTGTTTTCGGCCAAACAAGTCCACTTTAGCATGACTTTACCGTTATTTATCATGTCCCTCGCAAAAACATCGCTCTTTAACGTTCTTCTCAGTTTACAGCTATGAGCACATACGGTTTTTATTCAGATCTTCGAAATTTATAATAAGATTTTAACGGTTTCTTTAAATATTTATGATTAAGGCCACTTGGGATTTGGAGTGTATCTGATTAGAGCTAAATTGTGAGATTAAACAATTTACACCGCACGATTCCACGTTCATGATAATGTACCTAATTAATTAACTGAAGAATATCAATAAAACAAAAAAATATTATTTTATTGATATAAAATAAAAAAATATGTATATTTTATTTTATTGATACTGTTCAGTCAGAATTATGTAAACAATTTTTTGATTAAGGAAAATATTGTATTATACGTTATATATATAAAAAAAAACAATTTTTACTATCCTATGCGTATAGAACCCTATAGAAGGCCGTTGTGTAACGTGTATGTTTGTACATCACGTGAAACATATTAAATGATATTTTGATTGCGTCTATGATCCGATTTCAAGGCAGTAGTAAATAAAGATAACACTACGTTTTATATCAATAGATTTGGATGCCAGCACTACATTTAATACATCGATTATTCTATTCTAGTTACTCCCAAGTGCAGGTACTATTATTAGCTACATTCATCTGCATAATCCCGAAGGTTAATAACCGATATAAAATTTGTGCGACAATTCAAAATAATGTATGAGCAAACCCAATCGCTGACTAAGGCCAGAGTATTCTAATCTATACATATAATAAAATTGTAACTAAGCCGAATCTGTACATTAAATATTTTTTGGAAAATCTTATTGCAATAGACATTATTATCGATACAGAGGCCGAATCTATAGTTTTTAGAATTCTTGTCTGTCTCTCTGTTTATCTGTCTGTCTGTCTATTACCGCATCACAGAAAAACCACTGGAGGGATTTTGATGAAATTTGGTATGATGATTGCTGGTTATTCGGGTCAACATATAGGATACTTTTTACCGCGGGAAAATATCTTATTTTTGAGCAAAAATACAAAAACTGCAATTTAAGACTATACTAATAATATATGCAAAATCTAAGAATTTGGTTTTTGGTTATCTGAACGCGGGCGGAGCCGCAGACAATGCTAGTATAACATAAGTTTTTAGTGAGTAATGATTTTTGTATAGACAGTGTGATAAAGATTGTTATAAAAGAAATTAGATACAACAAAACGATTTGAATATAACATAATGCTAATAAAAAATTATTACTTTTTATTCAATAAAAGTATAAGCAAATGTTTGTATTAAAGATTTTTGAATGAATAGAAGCGAATTTAGCCATTATCGATTTATTAATAGGTTAATTTTATATCTGTTATGAAATTTTTGAATAATATCTTAAATGGATGTTTTAAAATGAATAATTAATTATTTATTATTTTGATATTTCATCGTTAGTTTCTCAATTCTTTATTGATATCTCTCGATATAATTGTCAGTGATGGGCATTGGATATTATTAATTTACAGCTGCGATGATGAAACCCATCACTATTCTGGTTCATATTTTTTGTCATTCGTATCTGATCTCGTTCCAGCCTCCACTTTCCAAATCAAAAACCGGAATAACGAGCCGCAATAAATTACAGGCTAGATACATCAATTTCATTGGTCCGTTGACAATAAAATATTTTTATACAATAGATTCAGATTTTTGTTGATAATAAAGATATTAAATATTATTATATCGTTATCGTGAATTTTTGTTATGAAATTTAAATAATCTAGAAATTACCTAAAATCACTAAATCAACTTACTACTATGAAGTTTTCAGTAGATAGCTATTATCATTATACTTGTAAATTAATTTAATTCTTATTCGTTGTGAAATTTCTCCATCTGCTATGTCGAGTTTAATTTTAGAAGTGAAAGTAAAAATTTGAAGCGACTAAGCGTTGATCGCAAAATCTCGATAATCTTACAATCGATAATTTTGACAGTGAATGTGAACTACACTTTCTAAATAAGAATATGTCATTTTTTTTTCGATGATAGCATATGTAATGAAGGACGCGCGTCAGTACGAAGTATTATTTAACTATAACATTTTATTTTACTTGCCAATGTAGTTTAAAGTGTATTTATTATTACAATTATGTTATTAATAAAATAAGATCTTTTAAACTTTGGAAAGATTAACGATAAACTAACTTCTTAAAAAGGGTCTACTAATTTTGTAAGTACGATGGTGTAATCACAAGTGTCTGATTAAATCTGAAAGTAACCGTGAAACCGGCGCAAGCGCAATGTCAAGATCTCTACCACATAAAGCTTAATTCCATATTCAAACAGGCACGCACGAAGTTCGGTTCAATGACAGCGGGCATAGACAAGTCTGTTGCCTTTTAAGCGATTATGTTTATGGTCGTGCATTTTGCGTAACTCTGACCACAGATTCCGTAATCGAAATACGTGAGACAAACATGGATATTTCTCACGATAAATAAATTTTTTGTTCTTTATATGGATTTAATTATAAATGTAAGGAAATATAATTAAGATTTTATTTCTTTTTCTTTATATTAATTGAATACTTTAATATATAGCCCCGGGATTAATGAGATAAGAGCTTTAAGCTTACCACGCTCTCCCAACTGCCGCCCAACGTAGATTTGTCCAACATCTTGGTAACACTTAATTCTGACACAAACAAAGTCCAATTCACTCGATTAAAATTTTAAAAATATGATTTAATGCCAAATTACGAAATAGGATGGTGCTACGCGATCGGTATCACGTTGTCACTCAGGAATATTGTATTTTGGCACGCCGTTCTCTCTGCGAGCTTTGCTTTGCGACTGAAGCAAATCCGTTTCAGCGTCATATTTATAAGTCGGGCAACCGGGAGAGGGCGGGTTTCAGGAAGGCGATGCGTGTAGCTTCCACTTAACACGTAGTCACGCCTCCGTGTTTTAGACACATGTAATGTACTTCGGGGAAGCCCGTCTAAAAGCGATTACAGGTAGCCTTACCTTCTTTTCATCCAGGACGCGTGCCACGACATTTAGGTATAACGTTTCTGTCACTCCGCAAAAGTTTTTGGAACGTCGACCCGCTTCGATTTGTGTCAAATTGAGTCATTCGAGATATTGTAATCTTAGCCTTGATAGATCGCTCTTTGTTTTGATTATGTGAAGTCCAGATATCAAACCATTCTTATATTAATGTAGTACGTTTGCCCTTATCTTGAGACTATGAAAATTTGTTTTTTTTAATCTAAAAATATTTCTAACGACTATTTATTTCAAAGACCTTAAACTAAATAGTAAACACATTCACGATGTGAAATAGGGCAATGACCTATAAAACGTCCATAAAATATGTCAACAAATTAGTAGTAAACTTTGCAAACGCATATAAATATTTATTGATTTGTATTAAAATATTGAAAAAATGTAAAAAAATTCGTGTTGTATTATTTTAAAATATTTCGTATTTTAAATTAAAATATTTTGTTAGCAAGTGTTCCAGTGACTCACAAAACCCTTCGTAAAACGATGAGCATACAAATAAAAGTAAGTTTCGGCCTATTTATGTTCCCCTTTCTGTACAAAGTCCCCTTTCTTTAATAAGATGAGATTTCAAGGTCGTTTTAAAACATCTCTTCAATTGCTATTGTTTTGTTCCCTCCGATAAAATGTCACATGCACAAAATTATTAACTTACATTTCGATTTAAAAACTTAGGTAACTTTCTTAGTATAGAGTTCACGTTATCGCTATATATTAAATATTTTGTTAATAAATAATATAATCAATACCCTACGATAGCTTTCACTGTTGTCGCAGGGGTCTCTAGAACACAAATGAATTCAGAATAATAAAATTCTATTTTTATTGAAAAAGGGCAAAGTACATAATATTCCTTACTTGAATAGACAATATTTTCTTTATTGTATTTGTTTCTTATTTCACAAATTATTTTTTTACAAGCTTTTTACAATTATTAGCGCTTGAAGCGCAACATCAGCCTCCTTTTTTAAAGCATCCATTTTGGCTGTTTACGATGGTTTTTATTTGAGATTTTATTTATATATCCGTTACTACTTTCTCATGAATGTTTTCTCCGTATTCTTTAAATTAAACCTGCTTTTAATTTTTTTATTTCTAAATGGGTTATATATAATATATTTTATTGCTCACTCATGTTTCTAGTTATGTACAACCATTATGTTTGAAAATAAATATTAGCTGATGTTGAAATCCATAGATAGAACGTAATGACTGGGCATCTTTTCAAAAACTTTTCTTTATAATATGTTTATTATAATATTTAATTACAATATATCATTAGTAAAACATTTCATATTGATATAAAATTTCGATTAGAATTAGTATTGAATTAAAAAAATCCTCATGGCTGTAAATATTATATCTATATAGCACTTTTTAACGTCCTACTGCTGGGCACGGGTCTCCCTTCAGTACGAGGGGGATCAGACCATAGTACACTATGCTGTCGTTGTCTTTCGAAAACTTGTCAGGTTCTCTCAGACGTGCAGGTTTTCTCAAGATCCGGGGCGCCGTAGTAGTTATGCGCAAGCGATCCTGCGGCGTCCCATTAAGGCGGAGGGGAGTATAAAAAAAAAAGGTTTTCTCAAGATGTTTTCCTTCCTCCTAAGGCAAGTGGTAAATGTTAGAAATGATTCGATGAAAATATCAGAGGTGCGAGATCCGGCGTTTTAACCCGCTTCACTCGGTTTCCCAAGCGAGCGCGTTACTACTGGACTACCACTAACTTTCATATGATATAAACTATTAATATTAATTTTCGTCATTGACTCGAAAACTTCACTTACGAAAGAAATTATCTCCTGACAAGCTAAACACCACTGAGTGTAGAAACATGCAAAGTAGTTCAGGAGTTTCTTATATAATAATGGTAAACAAAACATAGATGGAAGCATTTTTAAAGAATCACTTAAAAAGGTTCAATGGGAGATTAAAAAAATGTATGGATGTTATTAATTTTTGAAGTAAGTAATATGGGAATTGATATTTAGGCTCCTATTTGTATTGTTGATCGGAAAATCTGATCGGTTCACTGCTTATCTCATATAAAATAAATAAAAATATTATAAAAATAGAAAACCCGACTGCATAAAAGCTAAATAAAAAGATGAAAACAAGTTCACGATGGAATATAGTATTATGCAATCAGAGTCAAACACGTTTCATCCTTGCCGCGAGATGTACATACTCGTATGTATGATATATAGTAGTATGATAAATACCTATTCAACAATACCCCACTGAATCGTTGATTTTCATTTTTTTCTTTTTCATATTATGGAATCTAGCAGCCCCCATATTTATTTATTTTTTATGTCACATATCTAAGAACACTTGGACTAATGAAACGAATCTAACGATACCTTTATTAAAGAAATCCATCGGGTAGTTAGGAAGATATGAGGGAATAAAGAATATTACATATAAACATACAAAGATAGGCGCGAAAATCATAACCCTTTCCTTGCAGTCGGGTAATAATATACCTGTGGAAAACCTGTTAATAATAACCCCTTTATAGCAAAATATAAATCAGAATTTTCGGAAATAATAATGAAGTCGGTAATAAACTTCAAAGCGCTACATTGCTATTTTCACTCTCGTAATTTCCATGGCGTGTTAATAAGTTTTCTGGAAAAGTGTTTCTAACAAAGTACTATGAACAAGGAAAGAAGAGCTTAAATTACTTCCTAATAATGTGAAGCATTCATGAATTGGTTCTTAGATGTGATCTGTTGAAATAACTAAAGTGTATACTATTGAGAATGAGTCTGTCTGTATATCTTAATCTATACATATAACAAAATTGTATCTAAGCCGAATTTGTACATGAAATATTTTTTGGGAAATCTTATTGAAATAGACATTTTTATCGATACAGAGGCTGAATATATAGTTTTTAAAATTTTTGTCTGTATGTCTGTCACCGCACTGTCTGTCACTGTCACTGTTACCGCATCACAGAAAAACCACTGGACGGATTTTGATGAAATTACGTATGGTGATAGTTGGTTATCCGGGTCAACATATAGGATACTTTTTACCGCGGGAAAATATCTCATTTCTGAGAAAAAATACAAAAACTGCATTGTAAGAGTATACTAATACTATGTAAAATCTAAGAATTTTGTTCTTGGTCATCTAAACGCAGGCGGAACCGCGGGCTATGCTAGTCTATTATATGAAAATGAACTCGTTTGTTTATTTATTCGTAGCTTAATATAATCCGTCTTATAGCTACCCGAATCTGTTTCGTTTTTCCCTAGTAGAAAGCTACATTAATTCCGAAATTAAAATGCTCTTTTTCATCGATATACCTACCTACCATGCAACCGTAGCCGCGAGGGATTACTAGTATTAAATTAAATATACAGATATAAATTTAGTGTCTTCCGTCTATGATGTAAAAAAGGATTTTATAAATGGATTGTAGTCAAAGTTTGGTTTTAAATTTACAATATTAAAAAAATTATAACTACCTACATCATTCCTTATTCCTTATTTACTTTAAATTTATATCTGAAAATAACATATCGACGCATTAAAATTTGCCTATATCCGCCACAATTTAAGTTTTACAACTTGCTTTAGGCTCAGTGCAATTTTAGATGCACTCGAGTTCGATGTATTTACGTCATTGCAATTTTCAATTTGTATCTGTACTGGAGTCGACATAGGGCACTGTGGATTTTGACTTTTATATCTTATGTAATAAGAACCATGTGAGTGGCTCTCTGTACAGTCAATGACATTATATAAATTTTAGGGTCGGTGGCTTATGATGCTCTATGGAGAAGGGTTTGTTGTAATGTTAATGCTCGTATTATATTTTGACCGATAATACAGTTTATTTACCTTTAAAAGTTTAAATAACATAATGGCAACATTTTTATAATTATTAAAAATTTCGAAGTTCGAGTCTTAATAAGTTCAAAGGGGAAGTTCTCACAATAATCTATTTTGTTTTTATTCCTTTGACAAATCTGATCATTTATAGGTACATATAATAAAATTCTGAGTCGAATCTGTACATTAAATATTTGTTGGAAAATCTTATTGAAATAGTCATTATTATCGATACAGAGGCCGAATCTATAGTTTTTATAATTTTTGTCTGTCTGTCTGTGGCCCCATCAGAGAAAACCACTGGACGGATTTTGATGAAATTTGGTATGATGATAGCTGGTTATCTGGATCAACATATGGGATACTTTTTACTGCGGTGAAATATCTCATCTTTAAGAAATCTATACTATTACTAAACTTTAAAGCATAACGAGGGTGAGTGGCTAGTGATATACTAAACAAAACAATGTATTATATAAACATATAAAAGCACTGCTTTATTGATATTGCTCTATAGTAGGTATACCTATAGTAAGAAAGCTTCCTGAAGAGTCAATAAACCTTACCTCGCATGTTAATTAGTTTCACGATTGCAATTGATATTGACGTCATCGTTGATAATAAGAACACCAGTGCAGCGCTCCCCAATACTGTGATCCTCAATGTTTATTACTGAATGTTATAGGTACTATTTGTACCATAGACTAACGTATAAGTACAGTGTGCATTCAGCTGGCTGGCTGGTTCTTTGAAAACCTATTTTATATATAACTTTCTTAGTTAATTATTTTCAATTTTTTACTAAACTAATCGTACACAGAAACATATATGCACATTAATTTATTACTACAGTTATATTTATTAGGCATTTTAGTATTTAATATAGTTTTTTTTTAAGTTTGTCTATCTAGACTTTTTATACTTTCAAAAAAATTAGTATGAAGCTTATCGTTAGTACTTTACTCATATTATAAATATTTAATTTAATAAACATATTTATAGGCTACTTCTTATTCATATCCATGTTTCTACAGGTTATTTATTATATTTCAATAAAATTTACACTACACGCGCTCAAGGAATATGAATGTAATGTAATGCATGTCCCTAGGAAGTAAAAGGAAATAGTGCAGGAACACTTCTGGAACATTCCATTAACCTAAGAATTGACTTGAGAATAATCAATAATGAAAGAATGTAATAAAGCTAAAATGTTTCCGAGCGATCAACAGATCCGCTTAAAAGGTACCGAACGCAATTCGCTCGAATTAAGTCACATCCCGCTATCTAGGTCTGACAAGGGTACAAAGAGAACCAACTACGCCTTTGTAATGCGACAGTAATACTGATTGTTTACTCATTTAGGCTCAAGGGATATTAGAATGTGGATTAGGCTTCGTTGTTCATTATTCGGAGGGATTATGTTTTAAATTACCTAAATTAAGATTATATATATATATATATATATATATATATATATATATATATATATATATTTATTTTTGTATATATATATATATATATATATATATATATATATATATATATAATTTTTTTCAATTAATATGAGTTTGTATTATAATGTACTTAAGTAACAAAGCTTTTTCGTGCAAACTAAAAACGTATTTAGGTTCCAAATAAGTTAGTCATTAGTCCATTAATTTGGGTGTACCAAAGTTGCTAAGCCGACGTCGAGTCATTAAGAGAGGCAATTTTGTACATCTGTGTACTCCCAGTGCAGCCTTGGGTGTTTCAATTATACTTGTTTTGTGTCATAGTTATTATGGACTTCAAAATATTTATTACTGTTCAGTACTTATTTAAGTTGGTTTGGCTAACTTGAAAAAGGTACATAATATGGTTGTATGATCATATACACAAAATTGTGTGAATATCGCCATAGCTTTACCAATTGTAGATCGATATTTTTTTAAATTATGACATTTTTTATTAACAGTTTATACCTTCAGGTTATAAAAATATTAAGGAATAATCCAACTTTAAATGTAAATGTTAAATCTACATCTACACTAATATTATAAAGAGGAAAGATTTGTATTTTTGTATGTTTGTAACGAATAAACTCAAAAACTAGTGGACCGTTTTAGATGAAATTTGGTAAGAAGATAGTTTGAGACCTTGGGAAGGACATAATATATAGGACATACCCGAGCGAAGCCAGGGTCAGTTGCAAGTAATCTATAAAGTAATTTCGAAGTTAGTTTATCTTTTTAGTTAGACTGTAGTTATTGTAATAACCATATATTGTGCTAACTTCGGCTCAAAACGCTTCTTAGTGAATGAATGTGTCCAAGTCAAAAACTACGAGTTTGTTTATAGTTTGACACAAATATATGGAACGGAATGAATATGGAATTATATTGGAATTAATATAGAACAACTATAGATATTGATCTTTTAGTCAGTCATCATGTATCACGTATGCATAGGCGGCTGTTGAAAATCACTATTCATATTTTACGAGTCGCTTCTATTCTGTCAACGTGTCTATTACATCGCTTGTCTACTAAACAATATTATGATCGTGTAAATTAGAAACAATAAAACGTACAAATGATTTACAAGCCCGTTAAATTTCATCTTAGTCCCGATTTCGCTGGATTGCATCCAATAACGGTTATTATGTAATTTCATTGCACAGAATTACCACAGTTACTACAGGGTTTTGGCAGAGACAAAACGTTTATTTACTTTGTTCGGACTCGAGAGAATTAAACATTATTATGCAAATGTAACAGAAAAATTGTTTGCATTTATTTTAATGTCTTAAAAGACAAATCTCTACATGAAGTCATATACAAGCAATTATCAGTTTACTAGCAGAACCTGCGGCTTCGCTCGCGCTAAAACTACAAAAAAAAACACTAAAATGGTAGGTTTCATACAAACTTTCATCCGCTATTTTACCCCCATATAGGATGAATTTCGAAAAATGCTTAAACACGTATTTAATTAATTGTATTGAAGAGCATTAATACCATGTTTTAAGTAATTCTGATCATAAATATTTTTTGGATTGTATTATAACGTGTTTTTCTGTGGAAAAGAGATAATCTCCCACGGTAAAAAGTAGCCTATGTCACTCTCCAGTCCTCCTACTACTGTCTACACAAAAAATCACGTCAATCCGTCACACCGTTTCGACGTGAAAGAAAGACAAACAAACAACACTTTAACATTTATAATATTAGTATGGATTCTACATACTGTTTTACTTTTTTTCATAGATCTTTCAAGTGAAATGATTAATTAATATAATTGCAAGCTTTATTACATTCAAACAACGTGTATTAGACTGGTGAGAAAATAATGACTAAATTAAAAATATTTGCGCCTAAAAATACTATTTAGTATGTTATGTTATTATTGATAATAATAATGGAAATTCATATATACGTCTAGATTATTTATTTTCACTGAACAGTACAGAAGGAAATTGTAATAGGCTCATAGAATATCCTGTTAAAACTAGGCAAGCCGTCATGGCGTACGGTGTATGTTACCGTGATGAATCGGAAAATAGATTTGAAGCGATTATGATTGAAGTTATTCCCTCGTATTACCGCCTCTATATTTCACCTCTATATCTATATTTATTATATATCTCTATATCTATATTTATTATATAGAGCTTTCGTTGAGCTGCAAAATGTAATCTATACTTGCTTTATGAAGTTGTATTCAGTTTTTAATCGAAATTGGTCTTAAAGAGCATATTTTTATTTACATTGGTAAATTATTAATTAATTAATCAAATTATTTACCAATGTGGTAAACAAATAATTTACCACCCCTGGTACCGCATACTACCTACACTCAATCCCTACAAAAATCAAATGAATACTACATTGTGAAGTATTTATTTGATTTTTGTAGGGATTGAATGTTTTTATTACACGAGTACACGTGTTTGTCCCAGTTTAATTAAACAAAGCGCTGCATTATGTATTCTTAAGAAGCACAAATGTATCAAAATCAGTGAAAGCAAAATCAGCGAAAAAGAGATATGTAAGTTTTCAAATTTCAACTGATTATTTTTTAATACACGTAACGAGATATTTACCACTTTTGAATTCGCGATATTTTATCAGTATTGTGAATATTAAGATTACATGTACACGAGACCGTTATAAAAAATAATGTCAGTTAAAATCTTCTGGATACAGCAAAAATAAGTAAGTAACATTATATAGACATAAATTTCGCAATATCTCGTAAATTTTCCAGCGGCCATAGACAAATTAGTCTGATCTATTTTGCACTCTATTGTGAAAACTAAACATTGTTATCGGGCATTGTTCTACATATTATAACGATCATTCTAAAAAGATAAGATTTAGTTCATTATACCTTGTTGTTGAATTTGTAAATATTTTCATTAATTTATATTATAAAGTATTAGTTTTTATAGAATTTAACAAAAAAGATTTGTTTTTGATACCAGCTTTCGTTCGTCGCTCTGTTTACGTGTAAATTAAAACCTTTAAAAAAATATTTATAAAAATAGGAAAACCCGACTGCATAAAAAGTGAACTAAAAAGATGAGTACAAGTTGACGAACATAGTATACAGTCGGAGACATACACACACGCAGCTATTTAAAACATTTACAAATATTACATGTACATATGTAAGCCGATTAATAATTACAAGGGAACATAGGATCGGACATACATACATACATTAAGGTCAAACACATAACCCTCCTTTGGTCTACGCCGCAGTCAGGTAAAAAACTATTGTAGGCTGCAAAAAAAGATAAAATCCAATTTCACATTTTTCTTCTTTTTTTACTTAATTATTATAATTCTTTATGTATAAATAATAAATAATGAGTAGTAGTTTTATTTTTAAGTTATAAAATAGACAAACGTATAATAAAAATATATGAAATAATCATATTTATTCTGAGTTATACATACTTTTTAACACAGTTGTATTTAGAGTAAGTAGGTTCCTACTTTAGGATTAAAATTTAATGGCCGTTAACTCGGTTAAGAGATATAATTTAAGTGAAAGTTGGGACAGTATTTGTGAGCCATTCCAAATGCTTATTCACTGTAGTAATATTATACATATATTACGTGGACTTTTACTTGATAATGTACGCGTTAAATCATTTTTATTGGACATAGCCGGGTCGTGAAATACCTACAAGACTTGAATTTTGCCATTTTTCGAATACGATTAATTATAAGATTAATAAGAGTTTTATGATTAAAATTTTATCGTTTTTCATTTTACGCGCGACTCTTGTATTGATTTACGCGCAGTCTCATTTGGAGTGTATGTATGAGAAGACCTGTCCAGTGACACCTCAAGATGGGAAGACAACGTAGAGTTTTGCTCCAGCACAGCAACGATTTGGAGCCACTGCACGCTGCAGACTTTCTATCGGCTGACTGGTTTAGTGGCGTGGATTATATGTACGCAAGTACACATAAAACACGTTTAGTATCGGCCGATAGAAAGTCTACAGTGTGCGGGGCTCTTAATCAGGCTCAGACATCTCTTGATGAATAAAATTAAACTTCAAACCGACCTTCAATGTAGTCAGCTGTTCGACTCCGCCATATTGCTACAGGCCACAATTCGCCACAATTATTGCTGTCGTAATTTAAAAATTGTGCAAAGGAGTTGTCTATCTAGTATTTTTTTGTCTAACTTAGAAATAAGTGAGACAATATTGTTTACCAACGTGGTTTTTTTTTCTTTTTCGCTACATATTGTTACGAGTGTAATGCCACACACCCTGTAAAAGCCGCAAGCGACTATCTATACCTGTTCAGATAATGGTGCTAATCATATATTTTATGAATTCATTTACATATTATTAATGTTTAGTTTTTAGTACCGGAAAATATAATATCCTTTATGTGAACGGCATTGTAACGAAGGCAATAAAACTTAGCGGTTGACTGCGTGTTTATTTTGCTTTTCTAACCCTAATAGTTAATACTCGTATGTAAATGCTGAATCAGTTCAAACACTGTTAAGAAGTTTAATATTTCCAAAGCCGCAGGCCAGGTGTGAGGGAACACCTGCGCGTAGCTACGTAAATATAATTATCTATACATATATCTATACATAATAAAACTCTGACTGAGTCGAATCTGTACATTAAATATTTTTTGGAAAATCTTATTGAAATAGTCATTATTATCGATACAGAGGCCGCATCTATAGTTTTTAGAATTTTTGTCTGTCTGTCTGTGACCGCATCGCGGAAAAACCACTGGAGGGATTTTGATGAAATTTGGTATGGTGATAGCTGATTATCCGGGTCAACATAATATAGGTTATTTTTTCCTTCAGGAAAAAATCTCATCTCTGAGGAATCTATACTAAACGTTAAAACGTAAGTAGAAGTGAAGTTATATTTTTATATGGATCTCTAATAAATATGAAAATAAAATATTTTAATATCAAATGTAGAATTAAGACTATAAAGATTTATATAATTGATTTAAAAACTTTTGTTGTATATTTATGGACCTATAATGTCGAATGCTAATTAATTATACCTTGTGGCTTGTTATGGATGCCTCGTTTGCGTATAAAAAAATCAATAAAGTAGATAATAGTTCCGCTTTTATGTGAACTTCACGGATACTGCCATATCAAACTTTTATAATTACATGTATCTTCTATGTTTTATATAATACTAGCAGTACCCGTGGCTACGCCCGCGTCCAAACTTCCGATCGCTAACAAAATTCACAGGATCACCCGCTGGGCTAATCTGAAGATTACATGAAAATGTCATCAAAATCGCTCCAGCTGTTTTGGAGTCCATAGGAAACGTACATACACACATCGATTTTTATTTTATTTAATCAACAATTTAAACTTATTTATTGCTCGGAAAATGGAGTATTTTATGAAAATTTTGTGACACCGACTGCAGCGCCATTACCGGATCCATTTGTGAATACAAACCGTGCAGGGACACATTGAAATATACACACAAAATTTTATTCTAATTGGTCCAGTTCTTTAGGAGGAGTAGGTTAACAAACACACGTACAGAAGAGTTATTTATGTATATATAAGATACCTAGTTGGTTTAACTGTCCTCATTTTATTTATTACCTCGTGCAAGTTTAATATTCATAGTGTTTCTAAGGCTATATAATAACATAGAATAAAGCCTTTTTGTATCCGCGTACAACGTAGTGAAATTTGAAGTACGTGTTAAATACATTAACTTAAATTATAATATTTATAAAGAGTTTTGATGGGTTTATTCAAGGCTGTAGTGTTTCTTGTTCTAGATATGAGAATCAGACTACTATTAAATATGCGAAGGTTTGTATATATGTTTGTGTGTATGTTTGTTACGTTTTCACGGCTAAAATGGCTAACCAGATTTGAATGAAATTTAGTTTGCAAATAGATTATAAATGGAGTAATAATAATAATAATCGTTTATTGCAGCCAATTCAAAACCAATATTATGTACAGAAAAAAAATTAAGAATAATAAAATTAATTTGATATTCATTATTTTCTGTTCTCCTGTTTATGAACAGACAGCCGATAGATATGAAAATATCGCACCGTTCAAGCTACCATTAACTGCTCTGACTATTGCATTATTACTGTATCGCAACCTATTCCAGAAAGTGGCAATCCGTTTTCGAATAAAATATATAATACTATTGATTCGCCCTCGCTTCGCTCGGGTTCATCCCTAGCTTGCTTCCCATAACAAACTATTATCCACATTTTCATCCCCTTAAGAGATGATTTCCGGGATAAAAAGTATTATATGTCCTTCCCAGGGTCTTAAACTATCTTCTTACCAAATTTCATTAGATCCAGAGATTACCCCTTACAACGTCACAAAGTCACAAAGTCACAAATTTTACCTCTTTATAATATTAGTAAAGATATGTAATATATGTATGTGGACACCTTAGACACCTGGATAAACACCCGAACGATGCGATGCCCAGTCGCTAGTGACTAACCCTCGCTTATAATAATAAATATACTAATACTAGTATTGTCAAAAGTAATGTCAAATCTCAAAATTATCAACATCAGTACCGCGGCTGAGGTGCAGTACACGTGTGTACGCTTTGTTTACGGCCGGCTCCCGATGCAGATTGTCTGCTGACGTATGAGCTATAAATAATGTATTGACCTACTTGTTTATGTTCACTAACGAAGTCGGAAAATCGGAGTAGGCACTTTTAGTTTACTTTTCTAGTTTTATTCTAGATGGATACTATATTGTAGGTAAAAATAAAAAAAACTAGATTTATCAAATAAAAAATTGTTGTTTTTTTTTCAATGTTATTAACAATTTGCCACTGTTATGTCATTGATTTTGTGATTAATATGATACATTTTGTGTTTATTTTTGTATTTTGACACTAAACCTGTCGTAAGCTCAGAGGTTTCAGTCAGTAAGTAAGATCGTAAGATTAGCTCATAAATTAATTATTTATATATTTTTTTTATAACTCGACTATCGGATTCTAATATCGATAATTATACAAAAAATATTATTTAAAGAAATTTAAACTTACACTTTTATGCCGCATCCATAATATTATTATGACAATTTTGTACAAGCTTATGTTATATCTGCCAAGTTTCTCGCAACCGCGTCGATTCTATGAAGTCACGATAGTTCGGACCTAGTGTCACAACTCACAACTCACAGTGCGCATTACCGGACACCGGTAACTCTAACCTTAATCGAATTATCAATCATAGACTTCCCTTTTCTACTTCTTATTACTAAAGCTTATTTTTTTCTTACAACTAGCTTTGGCCCGTAGCTACGCTTGCGTGTTAAAACGACATAAAACTTAAAAAAAATATTAAAACCGACTTCCAGGCACTAACAAGTATAAATAACTAAACGGGGGGTTTTCATTTAGAATAAATACATAATCAGATATTTTCGAAATCGGCGCCAGCCGATACAAATTTAAGCACACCGGCTAGTTATTTTTTTACCTTTTAATTAGTCGCCAGCAATTCTTGTTTATTATATTATAATTAATTTATATATTCCTACCATGATTTCGTCTATTTAGCACTTATTAACGTTACCCTACTTGACATGAACTTCAATGAAAGGGTGGATTAGACTTGTCCACCTCTACCCAAGTGCGGATTGGAGGTGTCTTCCGAAAACTAGTTAGATCTTCCCAGCGCACAATTTCTCTTTTCACCGTTAGGCAGTTGGTAATTATGTTGAATGATAAATGATTTGCACATAAGTAAATAAGAGGTGAGAGACCCGAGCCTTGTTTCTTGCGAATCCTATATCTTAATAAAATTAAGAATCTAATCTGTATAAATCTGTTATAAATGTGAAATTTTGTGAGTATGTATGGATGTTTGATACTCTTTCACGCCAGAACGGCTGAACGAATCTGGATGAAATTTGGCACAGAGATAGATTATAGTCTGGAATAGCACATAGGCTTTTTATCCCGGAAAAATGTACGGTTCCCGTGAGATAGATTTGTTTTTGTTTTCCTAGGGACAAACCCGAGCGAAGCGAGTATAATTAAAATATGGGAAAACCAACAAATAGTTCAGTTTACACAACTTTGAAATACGTCACATCAATCGATTACGTTTCCAAACAACTTGAAAACGATAAAGTTGATTAATGTATCAACTTTACATTAACCAGTTGCTGTAATCTGCTGGATTACTTCTGAAAGCCCTTTTTGATATGGTTCAAGGAGAACATATTGTGAAGGATATATATGTACATATACAATATAAATATCTATATTTTTTTGAAAATCTTATTGAAATGGACATTATTATCGATACTAATATTTATCGATAATTTACTTTTTAGAATTTTTGTTTGTCTGTCTGTCTGTGACCGCATCAAGGAAAAACTATTGGAGGGATTTTGATGAAATTTGGTAATGATGATAGCTGGTTATCCGGGTCAACATAAAGGATACCTTTTACTGCTCGAAAATATATCATCTCTGAGAAATTATACTAAACGTAACGTTAAAAAACGTAAACGCTAGTACAATATAAATTACACTGTTTACGAAATATCAGAATAATTTTAATACGGGTTTGTAATAAAAATGTTTAACTTATGATGGAATCTTACATATAATACACACATGTACGGTATAAATAAATTAAATTACTATATAAATTAAATTTCTTAACAAATTCATTTCAATTATTTATTTTATAGCATTTTGACGTGTCGTAACCGATATAACTTTAAAATAGATGAAATGACTAGCGCTTTAGTTTATTAGTAGGTACTATATTTTCACAAGCACGGTTAAATTTAGTCGGCTGTACCCTTTTGAGTGGTTATTTCTGGATTAACGATAACTGTATTATATGAGTACATAGTCTCAGTAAATGTAAAACGGTCGATGGACTTCACCTCTTTTTATTGTGCTATATAAATAATTATTTTCAAAATGTTTTATTAGGTACTATTTCACAGTAGTAATACCAAATTGATGTTTTTATATTAATTTTAGGCTCTTACCTACCTTTAAAGTA